AAGCAACTCGAACTTCGTGGATCAACTGTGGCAGAGTATGTGGCGGATGGTGCAAAGTGGATAGTTTCCTCCCCATCACATCCCACGCAAGTTCGATGGGATTTAAATCCGGCAAAACATTCACGCCTGCTTCTTGAAGAACGTCCGTAGAACGACGATCAGTATGGGGACGTGCGTTGTCTTGCTGAAAAAGGACGTGTGGATGGCCCTTTAGATACGGCAGTAAAGTGGTTTGTAGGACATCATCAACATAACGCGCAGCAGTCATATTGCCTTGAACAAAGAGAAGGGATGATCGGATACCATAGGCAATAGCCCCTCAAACCATTACTCCAACAGTCCTATGTACATGCCTCTCAACAGCAAATTCAATATCACGCCGTTCTCCAAGGCGGCGTCTTACCCTTCTACGACCATCGTGCGTACCTAGACAGAATCGGAATTCGTCGCTGAAGATGACATTATGTCATTTTGCCTCCCAATGCTGCCGTTCCCTGCTCCAGTTCAAACGTTGACGACCGTGGTCCGTAGTCAGAGAAAGCATTAAGCGTGGACGGTATGAAAAAAGTCCAAAGGCTCGAAAGCGGCGATAGTACGCCACTGACTTTCTCAAAATGAAAAAAATAATTCTGCATTCATTTATAAATATTGAACATTGATGCTGTTCATCACTACCTGCAATCCAATTGTCCCGCCATGCTTTTCTTGGCGGAGACAATAATCCCAGAGTCTGCATCGATTAACCATCGTAGCTTCCCAAACTACGAGGTGCACTCCAATCTGAGAAAGAAAGGGGTAGTTGTGGCTTTTGTCCGCAGCAGTCTTTCCTGCTCCAGAGATGTTTCTTTGGAATCAGACCGGAAGGACATTCTGTGGCTTCGCCTCAGCTCCAAAACATCACCCAAATTTATTTGCTGCCTTTATCACTCTCCCTCGAACCATAACTGGGATGACCTACTCGAATACCTCGCCGTCCAGATCGACTTCCTGAACATCAATCACCCCGCTTCAGAGGTAGTTCTTCTCGGTGATTTCAATGCCCATAATGAGCTTTGGTTGGGCTCAAACAAGACCGATGCAGGGGGTCGTGCAGTTGAAGCGTTCGCTCTTGCTCAAGGGCTGACCCAGCTGGTGAGAAGCCCTACTTTTTCCCCCGCGTCTCGTCACATGCGTAGCCTGCTGGATCTCTTTCTAACCACTTATCCTGTCCTTTACAGGGATGCTGTCCTGTCCCCCCTGGGTAACTCAGACCACGGTGTTGTGGATGTTAGGTTTCGGTCAGAACTGGCTGTGGTAGCAGAAGCTCGCCCATCATTACGGACATACCGACTAGGAGGGGCTCAGATACTTGTTCTCTACCTCTCCTCGCGTATGTATTAGGTGTCCGTTCATCGATAACCAAAATTATCCACGGCGGGATGGAGGAATACATTTCTCATACAGTGAAAGTGCCTAAACCAGGGTCCAACGGCTGCTTTAAGAAATCATGTGACACTGCTCGCCAGCAGAAGATCAAGGCACACAGAATCTTCTTACAAAACCCCACTGTAGAGAACAGACAAGCCAACGTCGAGTCCAGAAACAAATACAACGAAGCTGTTCGAAATGTCAAAAATCAGCACGACATTAAAGTTAGCCACAGGGTAATGTCGCAGCGCAATGGCAGTCGGTCTTTCAGGACGCTGGCCAAGCATATTGAAAAGAACTTCTCATACAGAGATCTTCCACCACTTACGTGTCAGGATGGAACGATTGTATCCGACTCAAAAGCCAAGGCGGAAGTGCTTGCCAAAATCTTTGACGCCAACTCCACCATGGCCGTCCTCCCCCACGCCCAAGTGCCGTCAATTCAAACGGTTCCCTACACTATGCGGGAGGTAACATTCAGGCATAAGACCGTAAGATGAGTACCCTTGTCGTTCGACATCAACAAAGCTTCTGGTCCGGACTCGATGCCTGATATTGTACTGAAGATGTGTGCAGCGGAGCTTACTCTAGTTCTTTCGCGCCTCTTATGAATCCGGCACCTTTCCAGAAAACTGTAAATTTGCTCATGTCCAACCCATACCAAAAAAAGGATCTAAGACCGACCATTACAACTACAGGCCTATAGCTCTGCTTTCTGTTATAAGTAAGGTGATGGAGAGGTTTTTTTTATGCTCCAACTACCACGAAGGCCTAAGGCCTAAAGACCCATTGGGTACCGTGGGGCTATAGGGGGATACAGGGGAAAGGGGGAACGCCACACGAACTCTGGCGAGGGAACACGTGTGCATGCAACATGCACACATTCTGGCTCCGCCTACGAGATCCGCCGGGTGGTACCCCCACGTTCGACAACCAGAGACCGTCTACCACCTACAGTCATTCACAACATCCAGAGCCAAGAGAAAAATGGCTCCTGGGACGGGACTCGAACCCCCACAGCGCACGGCGACTGATCAGGAGACCGAAGAGTCTACTACTGCGGCCACCGCTGCATAACCGCGGTGCATAAATCGCGAACTTCTGAACTACCTCGAACGTCACAGCTTGATTAGCGACAGGCAGTATGGTTTCCGCATGACCTTCTCACTCTATATAAGGCCCAGATAAAGCCTAGCCTCGAGTATTGCTCACACGTTTGGGGTGCTGGCGCCCCGACTACATTATTTATGCTCGATGCTGTCCAGAGGAGGACTGTCCGACTGATCGATAACTCTTCTCTAACAGACCCTTTCGCACCGGCGGGCCGTCGGCGATCTAGCTCTATTCTACCGCTACACCAACGCGCTTTGCTCCTCAGAGCTCTCTTCCATGATGCCGCCGCGCTATGTGCCTGCCAGACAGACCCGCCTAACTTTGGCCTCCCATCCTAATGGTGTTGAACTTCGTACATCCAGAACTGGCCGATACGACCGCTATTTTGTCCCGAGGGTGTCGAGATTGATCTACAAGTTCTACTAACCTTAGGAAGTTCAAAAATCGGATTAACAATTTTTTTTTGGATCATCATAGCAGCCGCGGTGCCTCGGCATTTAGGCTTCTGCCTGCGCGGCTGCTTCGGTATAAAAAAAATAAGCTGATTTGATCTCTTGAAATTTTTTTAGACCGACGCACGGTTTTCACATAAAATATAAAAGCTATCTCTCTGCATATTGCGATATTGTCATATTAACCATATTGTTATGATCATGGTGAGAAACGGTTTTTTCTTCAAAAGTTAAGTCGTTTAAGGCATACGTTATTATGAAGTTTTCTTCTTAAAATCGATTCAAAAATCGACCCTCATTCCATTGGCATTCAATTAGGAATCACCATGTCTAGCCGGCACATACCTACAGTGCAACATATTCAAGATAACGGGGCTACAGTTGCCATATAGCCAAATATTGCAACAATAACATTGGTTGTTTGATTGATTCATGACAGATGATCGAAAGGTCTTTCCACCTCACTGCATCTCTATATTTCCTCTGTCTTGATTTTATCTTGCGCTATCCAGTTGGTATTATTAAGTGGTTTTTGTATCAATTACCAGATTTCTGCCTCGCAGTTTTAACCGCGGAACATGTAGGTGGCGCCACCAATGAAGTAACCAAATTCCCCAAGCATGCAAGTTGGCTGTCGATTTATTACTGCTATCAAACTTACAAAATGTCATTGGAAGTTCATAGCAATACTTAAAAACAATGTTTTGTGTTGGTAACCATTTCAAGTGTCACGTCTTCGTCGCTTGACGGACATATGTTGAGTGGGGCTATTACGGGCCGCGCTGTTGCCGGCTTGACGCTGACGGTGGAGATTCTGGTACTTATCGACACAGTGGTGATTGCAAAATCAACGACGACTTCGCGGATAAAATTGGAACATTTTGAGAAATCGCTCATTTGGCGTTCTTGACCTCAGTGTATCAACGAACCAAGAAGTTGAAAAAGTAAGTAATAACTGCCAAAAATTCAATTATCTAGGTAACAGTATTAGTTGCGGAAGTGTGAGCTATCAAAATTTAGTGTTTTTTTGATATATTGCCACAATTTGAAAATAGAGCCCTAAAACATGTTATATCGAATTGCTTCGTTTGGAACGACATATCCGACTCTGCAATAAAATGTAGGAATTTTCATTAAAAAAATGTATGTTTGGATAATCACGTAGTAATGAATAATAAAATAAAAATATTTTCCAAATCAGGAGAATGTTGACAGCTACAATTTCTGTATTTATTTATTTATTATAGTAAGCGGTCCAAGAGCCTAAATGGGTAGTTACTCGAGGGTCGTAGGAATGTTTTGGGTATTGAGATTAGATCGCTGAAAGGTTATGATTTACACCGTTTCAGTGGTGGCAAATGTAAAAAAGTAGTTACTATACATAGAAATACTCGAGCGCATCAGACATTGTATGTGTCATGTAGGATGCCGTCTGTATCTCGGCAACCACTCAACCTAGACCTATCGGTTGTACATTCGGAAAACCAAAGTGGCGAAGAGAAATTGCTGGGAATTGTTTTCAGATTCCTAAAGTGACCGTTAGAGGGCGTAACTCAACCTCAAAATCAGATGTGCTGTTTTCACGAAAACTTTAAATGGAATGGAAGATATCCCACAAACAAGTGTCGTTACCTACATTCACTATAAATTTCTTTTTTGCAAGGTTGTCACGCTTCATTTCCTTTCAAGTCACACTCAAATCATCAGATTATTGAAATACAAAACTTTTCAGTATGTAATTTACCCACCTTACCTTAGTCTGACCATCACCTTCCCATCTAGTTACAAAATATTCAATAGCAGTAGTCCTCTTTCTTGCCTTCTCGCTTTATTCCAAAGCTTTTTCCAAACGATGGGTCCTAGCAGTGAACGAAGGCCAAACAATTTTAATGAATAAAAGAAATCCAAGCAATATATTTTCCTTTTCTCGGGTATCCGTTGGAAGCTTTAACACAAGCGGTCAAGGGTTATTCTAAGGGATTAGAAACGTTAAATAAATGTACTCGTATATCAAACCATTTGTTGGTAGTAAACGTTTATTTAAAATATAAAGTAATACCTACAATAAAATTCACTATTACAATTTACACTTATTGCTACTTCAATTTACATACATCGTTTCGAGTAGGTAAAGACCTGTAAAACTTTGTTCTAAAATCAAAGCAGAATGATTGCTGTTTTCGATAGGTATACTAGAAAATTATCATTTATTAGAGAAACTAAAACAATACGAACGAGCTAAACAACATCAGGAAGAGTTAAGTATTCAAGCACACTATGAAATACTTCAAAAACAATGATTTTTCTGATTTAGGATACAAATCCAGATTACTTTTAATAATGCCATAATTTACCTCTAGATGGGACATCCGCTTTTCAATTCTTTGCTGGGCCTTAAAACGTCCATATAAAGCAACTTCCATAGAAACTGAATCTTTTTTATTATTACTATAGTGGTTTGTACTCGTCCAAGTCTTCTAAAACTATAAGACTCCAAAAGTATACTTGATAATTTGATATAAGCCAAGATCTCGCAACTTATATGAAAACATAGAAGTAGATGTTACAGAACTAAATTTGGCAGAAGAATTATGATACTCATTACATTTGTATTCGCTTTAGCCACTAGGTGATGATCTATCATTACACATCATTACATTTGTAACGTTTCATCAGCTTCTTAGAAATAACATCTATTTGGGCAATCTAGTTAGTTTTGTATTTCATGTTGTTTCTTTTTGTTAATTTGCCTTAACTTGACCTTGCACTCCAAAACTGCTTTAAAAGAAACATCCCAGGTCAATTACCGTTAGGTATAAGCGAGAAGCTTTTTGATAAAGAACGAAGTTCTATCGGCTTACTCTTGATGCTTCTCAATGTATTTACCTCTCTATCAAAAAGTAGCTGAGTATTTTGCTCCAACCTGTATTCCGAATACTTAAACTGCCCCTCTGACATTGATGAGTCTGAATCTTCTCTATTGCTTACTTCCTTTCATCACTGTCTTAAAGCTTTCGCCACGTCTCTATAATTCCTCCTCTCAGGTTGTGATTCGGCATCATGGAAAATTGAAGAAGTAACGCTTCTCGTAGATTCCGTTACAGAATTTTGCAGAAAAATCATTATTCTCACCACAGTCTACTTGGTTTGAATTTCATATTATCCCTTTTTGTTGATTTGCCTAAATTCTATCTTATCACAATTCAGTTGTAGTAACCCCTCAATATTGCTGCATCCTATCAAGATAAAGAGAATCAGCCAAACCTCTTTCTTGCATAACAGCAAAGTCGTATTCTAAATTGTACGGCATCAACCCTTGCAAGCTTCCAAAATAAGCTGCGTTTGGCCCACCTAGAGTCTGTTTTTTATCCAAGTTCTGCCTGGAACCAGCTCTGGATAACAGCGGGTTGAACGACATAGCACTCCCAATTTGTTTTCAAAGAAACATCCCTGGTGCATTACCATCAGGTATATGTGAAAAACTCTTTGACAAAGAAGTAACTTTTATCGACAAAGGCTTACTCTTGACACTTTTCAAAGTGTTTAATTCTCTGTCAAAAAGTAGCTGAGTATTTTGCTCCAACCTGTATTCCCAATACTTAAACTACCCCTCCGACATTGATGACTCTGAATCTTCTGTATTACTTACTTTCTTTCTTCACTCTCTTAGAGCTTTCGCCACGTCTCTATAACTCCTCATCTCAGGTTGTGATTCGGCATTATGGAAAATTGAAGTAACGCTTCTCGGGGATCCCGTTACAGAATTTTGCAGAAAAATCATTATTCTCACCACAATTGTGTTCACTTTGACGACTATGTAGTTGACCTATCATCATACGCCATTACTTTTGAAGGGTTTTACCAAATTTTCTGGGCGAGGCGTGTATTTGGACAATCTACTTAGTTTTGAATTTTATATTATCCTTTTTTGTCGATTTGCCTAAATTCTATCTTATCACAATTCGGTTGTAGTCACCCCCCAATACTGCTGCATCCTGTCAAGATCAAGAGAATCAGCCAAACCTCTTTCTTGCATAACAGCAAAGTCGTATTCCAAATTGTACGGCATCAACCTTTGCAAGCTTCCAAAGTAAGCTGCGTTTGGCCCACCTAGAATCTGTTTTTTATCCAAATTCTGTCTGGAACCAGCTCTGGATAACAGCGGGTTGAACGACCTAGCACTCCCAAACTGTTTTGAAAGAAACATCCCTGGTGCATTACCATCAGGTATATGTGAAAAACTCTTTGACAAAGAAGGAACTTTTATCGAGAGAGGCTTACTCTTGACACTTTTCAAAGTGTTTAATTCTCTGTCAAAAAGTAGCTGCGTATTTTGCTCCAACATGTATTCCCAACACTTGAACTGCTCTTCAGATACTGCAGAGTCTGAATCTTCTTTATTCTTTTCTTCTTCACGTCGTTGTCTTAGAGCCTTCGCCACGCCTCTATAACTCCTCCTTTCAGGTTGTGATTTGGCATCAGACGATTCGAAAATTGAAGGAGTGAGGCTCCTCATGGATTTCGTGTCAGAATGTTTGTTCAGTTGGCTGATGAACAATTTTGCGGAAGAATTATTATAATCGCTACAATTGTGATCACTTTGACCACTAGGTGATGATCGATCGTCACACATCATCATAGGTGGAGGAATCGGAATGTTATCTATACAGGTGATGCAATCATTGTTCGTTTCACAACAACAACCTGGCTGACAATCAGTATTCGAGTTACTGTCTGTCTGATATTTGTTTCGTTTTATCGTCTGTCTTAATTCTCTCATCAGCAAGTCTACGTCATTTCCAAGTAAGTTGAACTTCACCACAATTACACTAAGGTTCTCTTCTGCGCCATAGCTTTGTGCCAAGTCTTGAAGTCTCTTAGCCGCTAAAATAACGTTTCTCTGTAAAGCTACTTCTTTGATTGAGTTTTCTGGTGTAATGACGTCCCAAAGATTCTTGTTTGCTATGATCATATACTCATCCTGCTCTTCTAAGTGCACCTCAGCTACTTCAGGGTCAGGTACTGTCATTTGTATTTGAGGGTTGGTTCTGATCTGCTTCCGTTGTTTATTGGGCAGCAACCTGACAGGTCCAGCAGCTCTGCCAAGGACTACACGAAGGTCTCCGATGCTGGCTATTCGCATGGTGTACTTTTTCAAGGAGTTGCAGAATGCGTAGTCCACTGGTTGTTTGGATTTCATCACGTGGACTAGGATCGCGCTTATACCTCGTTTCTGGTACCTGCAATATTGAAGTTATTAACTGACTTCAACTAGACTTTGAGAATTTCATCGAATGTCGATTCATAACGAGACGAAAATTTAAAATATTTTGTACGACTGCCACAAATGTTTAGCAGATATATAAAAACATTGATGTTTTTAGCATATGATGCATGAGCGCCCCAAAGAGATTGTCTTTTGACAAGATGTGTATTTTTCATCAGCTTTTCAGTGATCAACATCCCAATTACGACTGTGAGAAAATAAAGGACTTATTATAATTGTTTATAATGCAAAAATAGATGTACCCATGGCGAAGATTTTTTACATGGTTGGTATAAGAAACTCTAGTATCTCTTATAATACGCTGTTAAACTAAGACTCTACCAAAATAATGTCCAGAGTCACTGGACAGCTCGTCATAAAAACTCTTTGGAATCATTTGTTTTAAATGTTAAACGGTAAAGAATAAGTGTAGAAACCGACGATTTTGACATTTTTTTGTAATAACAAATTGTTCGTTATAGTAAATTGTATGTGTAAGGTTGAAAGTATGTTTGTTCTCTACAACTTTTCTGGGCCACTTACACCAATAATTCATAACTATTCTGAATGTACGTAAAAAATGATTTTCCCATCTCTAGCGCCTAATAAAAAAAGTTATGCAGCAAAATTTGTTGTATCTCTGGATGATGAGCCTTTTCATATGCCGTCAAGAATATAGTCCTGCGGTAAAATAGATTATGACATTTTTTCTGTCAAATTCTAGGTCTCTAGGTTCTCTGGTCTACTAGTCTTTGAGATATGCGATAAAAATAATTTCTGGATGAATTTCGGATACATTGCATTTTGGCAATGAGACGTTTTCCGACATATCTTCATATGAAGTTTTTGTTTTAAATCCAAGCAAAAAATCACCGCTCAAAATTTCACTGACATCAGAAACATTATCTAGGTTTGTAAGGGGTTATATTTTGTATACCCAAGCATCTGCTCTAATACGTTCCCGATATCAGACTAAAAACATCGAAAGATCAATAACTTTTTGCAGAAACCGTTAGGCTTTGTGGAATCATTCTTTTTAAAGGCTTTAACCCTTGAATTGATAATTTCATATTTACTGATATGGATTTCCCGGTAAAAAAATAAGTGTAGAAATCGTCGAAGTTTGATATTTTTTGAAAGAACAAATTAATCGTTCCAGTGAATTGGCCCTGTAAGGACTTATTTTGAAAAAATGCTTATTCTCTACCCTCTACTTTTTTTTAGACCACATAACTATTTGAATCATATGCGAACAAATGATTTTTCCTTTTTCTTCTTTGGCGTTTGATTAAAAAGTTACCTATCAACATTTCTAATATCTCTCGATGATATAGCCCTGTGGTGAAACAGCTTAATAATTTTTTTCTGTCAAATTCTAGATATCGTAAACTACTAGTGGTTTTTGCGATATGTGGTAACAAAAACAATCGGGACACATTTTGGAAACATTGCATTTTGTCAATGAGACGTTTTCCGAGATATCTTCGTATGAAGTTTTTGTCTTAAAACCAAGCAAAAAGCCACCGCTCAAAATTTAAATGACTTCAGAAACATTATTTACGTTGATAAAGCTGCTCTAATACGTTCCCGATATCAGACTAAAAACACAGAAAACATTTATTTCAAAACAGACAACAAATAAATGACGGATTCTGAGAGCGAGGGGGGGCGCGCGACTCCTCATCTAAATCACAATGCCAATATTTTTTTTTCAAGAAAATGGTATATTATATTGCAGTCTTGAATCGTGAGTCATGCGCCTCTCCCTCCTAGATGTATCCCACCAGAAGTGATGCTTAACCATGCAGCCGCAACCCCCCTCTTCAAATTTTTAATCGCCGATAACCACCGCTAGGCAGCTTTCTATACGTTCTTGCAACGAATGCACACGTCTCATCCAAATCCTACCTATCCAATAGGATTATCACTTACTGCCATTCCTTTAGAATGTATCACCAAAATGAGATACAGATTTCATAAGACCAGATGTCAACAACTTGCGGTGTGGTTTGGCTAATTGGGTTCATTATAATTACATGTAAATTGGTAATCGCAGAGTATTGTTTTAATTAGCAGTCTTAGCCTTCTGATTTAGATAACACCTTAAGTTTATATCTCAAAATCCGATGATTAAGATTAATATTTGACCAACTGTGACAAGAACTAGCTTTAGTTATTTATAAATAGCTACTGATAAGTGACTACCAACAACTTCTCAGAGTTATCTTACCTTTCTTTAAATTCCCTGTAGACCGACAGTAAAGTATACTTCATATAGTCATGAGCTGTCTCCTTTACGGTCCTTTCCTCCAGTAGTACTCTCGGGACAACTTTCTCCACACCACAAGGCATATCACTATTTGATTCACCATCAAACATTCCAAAAAGAGCTTCTGTATTGCAGAATGCAGGTAGACGAATCTGGGAAACATACAATCTCTGCTTGTTACCTGCTGTTTCTGAAAAACCTACTGACCAGCTGGCCTCTGTCAGATCACTCTCACAAAACGGAGAAGGAGTTAGAGGTAGAGTGGTTCTATTCCTTCCAGAAACGTCTACTAAGGACATAGGCCTTTGGGTTCTGTAGGTATTGAATTGGTGAGAGTCTACGTGAAGCTTGGTGTTACAAGACAGGTCCAGGAACTTTAAATTTGGAGGTATAAGGGCTGTTAGATCAACCCTATCCAGCTGATTGTGAGCTAAGTCCAGCACTCTTAGACAAAGTAGTGATGACAGCTTTGGTATACTTGTAAGGAGGTTGGAATGTACCCTGAGTACAGCCAGATGCTTGAAGCGCTCTATGTTGTCAGGAAGCTTGAGGATCTTGTTCCCAGATATGACGAGCTCTTCCATATCAGACCAATAGAGGCAACAGTTTTCGGGCAGTGCGTTAAAATTGTTGTACGCTGCATGTAAGTTTTTCAAATTCCTCAAAAATGGAGCTAGTCTGTCTAAGCTCTTATCTATCAAACAGTTCGCTGTGAGGTAAAGCTTCTCCAACTGCAGAACCTCCTCTGGCTTAGGTAGGTCACAGAGTCTGTTATTGGAGAGGTTCAGAACTTTGATGTTACGGACGAACTTGAAGAAGTTATCGGGTAAACTAGACAAACTGTTATTCTGTAGGAACAATTCTTGGATAGGTAGATGTCGTTGAATGGTCGGCAAATACTGCAAATGGTTGTAGGCAAGTTGGAGCGTGTGTAAGAATGGCATTTCATTGCAAAAGAGATGGTCAGGTAGTGAGATCAGAGAGTTGTTGCTGGCAAATAGGGATCGCAGTTCATTGCAGCCAGTTATCCAGTTCGGTAGGGTCTCCAGAGCGTTGTAGGAGACGTCCAGGTGTTTTAGTCCGATTGGCGGGTGGACTACTGTCAGTGATTTCAGTCCTACAACAATGCTAGCGTCAGAATAAGAAGAAATAATACATCATAAGAAATAACTAAAAGTAAACCTACTGCATAGCTGTTTCATGCTTTTTGGCAAGTCATCAGCTTGGTCTAGGCTTGCTCTCAGGTGGGCAATGAACGAAATCAGAGATCCATCTTCTGTTAGAGGTTTAAGACTTAAGCGAAATAAGACAGCACAAAGCGCGAGCTATTACCGGAAGCGACCACTGCAAGAGTAGATAGCAACTATCGGTTGGAACTGTGAAGGTCTCAGTTCGAGTTTGATAGCCCAGTTACCACTGTGCCCGCTAGATGATTAAGATTATTGCGCTGATCGGATGAAAGCAGTACGCTTACTTCGTCAGCCTACAGATACAGTTGTGACTGGGCTATCAAACGTGAACTGAGATCCTTACAGTTTTAACCGATAGCTGCTATTCACTCTCACTAAGGTCGACTCTGATAACAAATGACATTTTGTTCTGTCTTTTTTTTATATCGAAACAGCCGCGCAGACAGAAGCCTAAATGCCGGAACACCGCGGCTATGATGATCCCAAAGAAATTTTGTTAATACGGTTTTTGAACTGCCTAAGGTTAGTATAACTGGGAAAAGCTTCCTTTTGTAGATTGTTCCACAATCTAGACACCCTCGGGACAAAGGAGCGGTCGTATCGGCCAGTTCTGGATGTACGAAGTTTGAGACGGTTAGGATGGGACGCCGAAGTCAGGCGGGTCTGTCTGGCAGGCACATCGCGCGGCGGCATCATGGAAGAGAGCTCTCAGGAGCAAAGCCCGTTGGTGTAGCGATAGAAAAGAGCTAGATCGACGACAGCCCGCCCTCCTCTGGACAGCATCGAGCATGGACAATGTAGTCGGGGCGGCAGCACCCCAAATGTGTGAGCAATACTCGAGGCTAGGCCTTATCTGGGCCTTGGTCATGCGGATAAGTACTTCTTAGCCCGAAACAAATAGCCTAGCCTTTTCCCAGCAGCTGCAGCTATTGACGAGATGTGTTCGTGCCAGATCAGGTCCTCGGTAATCTGGACTCCGACCAGCCGAAATGAATGGCTCTTTGGTAGAACTCGGCCGTCCATCGAAACTGTATGAGCGTTGGACGCTTTTTTTTCGTCAAAGTACAGTACTGTGTTTTGGAAGCATTGAACTGTACAAGATTGTTGCGTCCCCAAGCAGTGATAGCCTCCAGGTCTCTTGTCAGAGAAAAAGTCGTCGCTAGTCTTCTTTTTTCCAGCTCAGCGGCAGAGATCGGCTTGTCACTCTGAATTCTTGCATGTAGAGTGCTGTCAGCAGCGAAGCTATGGATTGGGTTAATCGTGCAGGAAAGGAGGTCGTTGATATGTAAGAGAAAGTGTGTTGGAGCCAAGAACGATCCCTGGGGAACCCCCGCGTTGACGTTGTGGGATGAAGAGGAGAATCCGTCAATTGCGGCCAGGGATACAGTCAGCCACCCATCTGCAAAGCTTTTCTGGGAGGCCATAGGATGGAAGTTTGCTTAAGAGGGCAGCGTGCCACAGCTGATCGAACGCTTTCGTGATGTCAAGAGCAACGACATGAGCCTCACCATGAGACTGGATGAGTTTACTCCACAATTGGGTAACGTAAGTTAGGAGGTCAGCTGTGGATCGTTGGTGCCGGAAACCGTACTGCCTGTCGCTAATCAAGCTGTGACGTTCGAGGTAGTCCAGAAGCTCGCGATTTATGCACCTCTCCATCACTTTACTTATAATAGAAAGCAGAGCTATAGGCCTGTAGTTGTAAGGGTCGGTCTTAGATCCTTTTTTTGGGATGGGCTGGACATGAGCAAATTTCCAGTTTTCTGGGAAGGTGCCGGATTCAAAAGATATCTGGAAGAGACGCGAAAGAACTGGAGCAAGCTCCGCTTCGCAGCTCTTCAGTACAGTGGCAGGAATCAAGTCCGGACCAGAAGCTTTGTTGATGTCGAGCGACAAGAGCACTCGTCTTATGGTCTTATGCCTGAATGTTACCTCCCGCATAGTGTGAGGAACCCTTTGAATTGACGGCACTTGGGCGTTGGTGGGGACCTCCATGGTGGAGTTGGCTGCAAAGATCTTGGCTAGCACTTCCGCCTTAGACATCATTAGATTTATTAACCACTCAAGATACAGTGTACATGTGGCATGTCAGCTATAGCTACAAATGCAATGTACGCACCAAGTATGCTTTCAATTAAAAAAAAATCAGGTTAAAATGGATCTAAAATACATTACCGTGTACCGTGTGAATTAAAATACATAAAATCACTCTAAATATAAGTAACATATAATAGTAACAAAAATTATGGCTTCATATTGAAAAATCCATTAACGCTTTAAAATGTGTGTCTCATGAGGAAGTTTTTCACTTCAGCTTTAAATCTGTTGTAGCTTTTGAGTGCCCTAATACTGTGAGTTAAACTGTTAAATAAGAGGCTACAATTGTAGAAAGGAGACTTTCTGCGTATGAGGTAGAATACCTCTGAATTAGTTTAATGTTGACATTTTGGGTGCTATAATGACGGCAAATAGATTATCATTTCCTCTTAAAACAGTAACACGTCTGAGAGAATATAAACAGAAAAAAGTGTGAGAATGTTGCTCTGCTTAAAAACCTCTCTGCAAGATTATTTGCTCCAAGCCGTTCAATTATGGGCATATCGTCAGTTGTTTCTACAATAATAGGACGCTATTACAGCCTCCTTGATTTTCATTTTTTTTGTCCTTTAGAAGAGAAGGTGTTTCTAGATTTCTAGTGTTTCGTCTCAGTGCTCTATGTTGAGGTTATATTTTCTTTTTGAATTCTAAGAAATTTCAGACGGATACAACTTGACTTTCAGCATCTGTCTTATCAGCCCAAAATACATCAAGCTTGAAAAAACATAGCCTCACAATAGGAGAGCGCTGACGTTGACACGGAACACTAGAGATCTAGAAATACCCCAGTTTTTCGGAAGGAGAAAAAGGACTATGAAAATCAAGGAGGCCATAAAAGCGTCCTACAATATTGAAGGAACGACTGTCGAGGGCAGCTATATAGAAAAATATATATTTCTCCAAAAAATGCATGTTTAAATTTGAACCACTTATGTATATGGCTTATTTCAGAATTCGGAACATTCTTCCCAGTAAAAATGACACCTAGTCTATAAACTTGCGGTAAGTTATTTTCACTATAAGGCATAACATAAAATTGCCAATCAAAAAATTATCCATTAGATATTTAGACATGTCTACAATCTGCATATACATCTAGAAAGTAATAGTTATCTTTGACCCGATCTCTCATTTTAGTATAAGACTGAAGCGACGCAAGGTCTATTGCAACATTTTTTTGATTCAATAATATACCTACTGTTGTTTCCGGCAATTATAGACACCAATTTCTTTCCGTGCAAGGTAAGAGTGGTGAGGCTGTTTCTGGAACATTGCAGCGTTTGGAGCTGTTCTACGGCTGTGAGGTCTAGAATTTCTATACTATTTTCACTTACGTCTAGTTCGGTCAGACTCTGAAAATTCACAAATTGGAATTTGGGAAATTAATACTCAATAATCTTCTTGTCTTATTTATAGAAATATAGTAAGTAATGTTGTGTACCTACCCCATAATTTCCTAGGATAATGTGGCCTTTTAGTTTATTCGACCGCAAGTTTAAAGTAGTTAATCCCTTAGAATGCCTCGACTTTTCCTCTGGCTCCTATAATGAACAGAAGATTCCAAATGAAGTATCATTGGCTGAAATGGACATATTTGCTTTCCGTTACCTATAACAGTGACCAACCGCAGACAGCGCTGTTTCGTGTTCGATAGAAGCTCATCAGTGCTGTGTAGGTCTTAGGTCTAGTCTTGGAGACAGACGAAACGGAAAGCAAACAAGCGGGTATGGTCTTTTGAAAACATTGTGAACAAGTGAAAAATCTTCCGATCGTCATATACCAATGTTCCACAAGGAGGAGAAAGATGCTTTGAGCGCAGAACGTCAAGCGGATATGGATATGGTCTTCATCGCGATGACGATGAAAATCAACTTGACGAACTAGTGGTAGGTGGGGCTCATCAGATTTTTCGAATGTCATTCATTATCTTAGAGTAATAAATACGTTGAGAATCATCATCAATTTGTAACAAAAGAGAAATTTACAGATTATAAAATTTCAAACTTTGTTCGGTAAAATCATTTTTAATTATACGTAGGCCAGGAGAGTATTTTTTTAAGATCTTTCAATTTGGGTTATACCTAAAGTATTTTTGGGACATATTGTGATATCAACATCATGTAAATTAATTGCTGCCCGTAGCTGCTTTTACTCACGTAATAATAGTAAATCCGGTGAAATTCAGAAAGTACACGCTGTAAGGGCATAGTAAATTCTTCTGCTAGATTTTAATACAGTGGTGACAGATAGCAAAAAGATAATGTATATCAATCCTATTTTTGAGTTACTAATGAATATTGAATATACCAAAGATACATTTGTCGATGACCAATTCTTTCATTGTTTTCTTTATTTTTAGCAAGTTCAAAATATTTTTTGTTGTGTCTGAATGTGTCAAATTATATTCTTCTGCCAGTCCATATTGTGTTTCGTTAGTCATGTAATCTGCACGCACGTGCTTAACAGGTTCAAAATGAGGTTCAAAATGTATGTCTACAATCGTGAATTTTGAAACAAACTACTAATCTGGCATAGTCTCATGCTCCCTTATCTTTATCATATAAACAGTAAATTATTAAAAAATGCATTGTTAATATTATATATCCGATATAGCAAAATCAGTAAGACGCTAAAATAAACCTCGATGATTACAAAGCCCAACGAAGCAAATAATTTTTAAACCCGCAACTGTCCCACGTCACGAAATCAAGAAAAATGAAACAAAATTTATGTCAGTATAACCAAAACTCATCACGCAAAAATTGTATCAATCTTAGAGTGTTGAATCGTGGAAAACCACAATGAAATATAGCAAAAAATTAAGAAATGTATAATTGTATTTAAAGCACCAAACGCTTTTCTTTATTTTTTCTTATGCAATGTTCTTCATTACTCAAGAGAAAGTACGAATATATGGTTAGATTTTTAATTGTAGTCAGTTGGTTTCGTAAATGGATGGTCTAGATACAATAAATTGAATGTGATGTACGGTTAAAATACTGGAATGTCCGTCTATAATCATAAATCATGTTTCAAATTAGACTCTCACCAATGTTGCGCATTTATGTAACTGAAAAATGGCACTCAGAGAGTTTCATAATTCCGAGATTTCAGATAGACGAAAAAAATAAACTTTTCCCAAAATCGTTTTTATTTCTTTCTGGCTTTATTTGAGATGGGTCCTACATTAACATTACCAACACTATGAATTTTCGTCTCTTGTCCTCAGTCGCCAACTATATTTATTCTTATAGATGCCATATTGTATTTTTGAACAGGTAAATAGTTTCATAGACTTCAAAAAGGTGTAGAAGTTATCCATTGACATTGCCAAACCTTATTATTTAAGAAAATTTTATCTCAAGCAGGCCCTGAAATTATCAGTTAGTTATTTTTTATCAGCGAAGCATTAGTCCAGTTTTTATGAATTGGGCATAGGTGCATAGTCTCTGTTCTCAATTTGAATGATGTGTTATTATGAATATCATCACATGGATTAATATTATGAAACTTAGAATGCTAAAAAGGTAATTTGCTTATAGTTTATATTAATTCATCGAATGAAAAAGAACATAATGCTAACACTAACTAAACACTATTTAAGGCATTACTTTTGGTAACTGATGAAAATATTTCAGAGTAAATCAAATACTTTGCTGCTTCCTAAATATTTGTACATTTCACATCAGTCGTATCTAAGCCGATACACGCAACTTGCATACAAATAATATAAATCTACGGCTAAGGCGCTCTCCATCGTGCTAAAATATTGCTTGTTCTTGTCGATAAATGTGCAAATTATCTGCTTGTCTCTTAAATAGGTTTCTCAAAAAATGTGATTTAATCGGGTAAACATGTGATAAACTGTTATTTTCAAAGCCAGCTAAGGAAATATTCGTTTTTGCTGAAATAACTTAGGTTCGGCAATGTCAATGTATAGCGAAATAAAAAACTCTTGCCACGTGCCAAAATCACGTAACCTTTTTTTTCTATTTATCACTTATCAGTAATTTAAATTTCTCTTCATTCATAATAGAGTGCCCATTCCTAGGTCAAACCCTTTTCAATGATTTTCTTTTTGCAAATTTAATAGTTTATTGATTGGGTAATTTCACTCGTATTATATCTTTCTTTCTCAGCGATTCAGTATGGTGTTGACGATCAGCAAAAAAAAAACTGTAGTTTTTCTCCGTTAGCTGGTTTCCTATAAAACATTATATTCTTCTAGGCCACTCAAGATTCCTTCATCTAGAACGTTACGTATTCTGTGTGATTCGGTTTTCTGTTTCCGTTGAGGTCGTGGTGCAGGGATCGTTTTGTCGTTTTCCGGACTCTGGGATATTAGGGCCCCAAGCGCCCATATATGGACTAGCACCCTATTCTTTTTGTTGTGTAACTTAATTTCTTCAATTTTTTTATGGGATTTTGACCCTCAGCGGTAAGTTCTTTTTTTATATACCTTCGGACCGCGTGCCTTAATGCGTGTCCTGATGACGTTCGTTCAATATCTGCTTTCTTTTTGTCAATAGAAACAGAATTAAATCATCATCTTTTCTCCTCTAGTCAGTTGCATCGTTGTAGTTTTGCAAATTGGAAGCCTGATGTGAACAGGTAAAATATCATTCTAATTAACAATTTGATAGATCTTTATACATTTATTATTGCTTATTGAAATTCTTAGAGACTTCTTGATTTTCTTAGACATTCTACGTAATCAAATATGGGGGCACTGCCTACATGGCACCTTCTATTACATTGATCAGATTTTGATTTTTGAGCTGCCATAACTTTTTAGAACAAGGTTATATTAGTTTAGTACGTTTTTATCTTCTTTTTTTGCCTTTGCTTTACTTTTCTCGTACAAAAAACGTACATGGTTTCGCTTCAAGGGCGATTGTTTTCAATGTGTAGTTTTATCTCAGACAGAGAGTAGAGTAGATTTTTAAACAGTATTCCCCTCTCTAAGGTTTTTTTTGTGTTACCACCATAATTTTTGGGACCGAGGCAAGCAGCCCCTGCCCAGTGATGTGCCCACCACTGGCCACTTTTTTACCAGAGTCGAGGACATGTCGGCCGCGCCTGACAAAGAAGACCTACAGGTTTAGTATTTAGGCGCAAAATATCTGTAAATACTTCGGGCGTATACCATGGTAGACGTTTCGCGGGGTTATCTCGAAAAATAATGTTGTCAGGTCGTATTTAAGAATTGTAACATACTTTCTCTTTTTCATTACTCGCACTCCAGTGGTGGAGCACATGTGAGTTTTTTTTTTTAATGAACTATTGTGATCCATTTGATATCTTGTTTATTTGGCTCTCTCTGTGTGTACTATTACTTAAATTTCGTCATCTCTGTTAGATTCTCCTTTTGTGTGGTGGACAAGCCAAACAAGTTCCGACAAACATCTCGGGGAGTTGTGGCTTAATCCGTCCTAAGTCACTGGCACTCGTAACTCGCCCATACTCTCCGCTTTATTGAGCTAGGGCCTAAATTTGCACGCCACTAGAGACAACTGTTTTGCTTGGACCAACCGTTAGATAGTATTTATCATTGTGTTTTGTTAATTAACCAAAAAAGGCGTGTCATTCTGTTCACCTGTAAAAAAATCTAAGATAAGAAAAATAAAGTTGATGACTGACGACAAGAGGCGAAACGTCATATTAAAATTCGAATACTGTCATCTTGTAGAGGAGATAAAGTGGCAGTGTTAATGTTTTTTTCATTTTAGAGTCCCATCTCAAATAAAGTCAGGAAAAAATAAAAACGATTTCGGGTTTTTCTTTCTATTTCCGGAAACACTCGGAACTTTCTAGTTTTTTAGTTACCTAAATACGCAACTTTTCAAATATTCGGCTCCCATTCCCATGAGCAGCGTTGATTAACGTATTCTACCCGAAGAGAGCCAATCATATTCCGGCCTCCAAAGAGCGATATGAAAGGTAGTGGTCCAACTATGAGACAGTCTTCTGATATCGAATGCCCGAATGCCTTTGTGATCATTGAAAAGCAGCGGCGGTGTCTAGTCGATCTCGATTCGCCCGGGGCCGGTCATGCCCCCATGACCTGCCCTGAATCCGCCCTTTCAATTTTACAAATCGACCATGTTTTTTGCTATAAGAAGAAACTTACCGATAAAACGAGAGCTTTCATCTCATTGACCCCTTTATCTGGGGGGATCGCTAATCTGTTGGCCACCACCCTTAATACTCTTAAGAACTCCAGGTCCCACAGTGTCTCAGGAAGAATGCTCAGCAAATTATGGTCCAAAATCAACTCCTGAAGCCTGTAAAATGGAAAGTTTTCATTAGACTGGATCATCAAGCTTTCCGACCAAAGGAATTGAAAGAAACTTACAAGAAAAACCTTATAGTCCTTTTTATACCTGCTCAAATCTTACTATAGGTGTTTTCACGGTTTTTGGCGGGTCACAGTCAAACTACAGGAATTTTTTTCATACATTCATCTCCCTCACATACAGGGTGTTTCAGTTTATTGTTGCATAACTTTTAGATTCGATAGAACTTTTAAAATTAATGCATAAAGTCTATATAAACATGGTTCGAAAAATGCGTGGCTTCCGAAATACAGGGTGTTTAAATTTACTTTCTAAAATAGCTTTTTTTAAATATTTCGAACAATATTTGATGTATAACAGTGAAAATTGGTATACAAGGGTTTTTTTGGTACGACAAAACGAACCATGGGCATAGTTTTACTGTAGCCGCTAGAGGGCGCTCTCTACTGTACCTGTAGTGTATTAAAATGACCGAAAAAATTTTCTTAGTGCAATTTTTTGCTTTTTGCATAAAAAACTGATTCTTCGCACTTTTCAACATAAAAAAGCTCTCTTGTGAATTTTCATTATAGTTAGCCGTTTTTCAGATATTCGATTTTTAAGGTTCGATGCATTTTTAATTATTTATGATAAAATAACGTTAAAAAGTCAGTATCTCCATAATTTTTAGAAGTAGGCTGTGCCTGCAAATATTTTTGAAATTGAAAGTATGCAGTTCGGGAAAGAAATTTTCAGCATGAATTTAGTGTGAACGTGTGGATTGGTATCTACCGTAATCGACTATTTGGACCCTACCTTTTGCCTGCAAAGTTAAATGCTGCGACATTCTTGGAATTTTTAAAGGCTGAACATGCAAATAATTGGGATGATGTTATGTCAGATTTAAGAAGATTGGCCTGGTTCCAGCTTGATGGGTGTCCAGCTCATTATTCGAGAATAGTTAGAAACTGGCTGGATGAAAATTATCCAGAAAGATGGATCGGCCGAGGAGGACCAGTCGCCTAGCCTCCACGATCCCTGACCTAAATCCATTAGATTTCTTTGTGTGGGGATTTCTAAAAGAAAAAGTGTACCAGACTCCCGTAACCACAAGAGATATGCTAATAGACATAATCAGGAATGCATGTGATGAAATAAGGCCTTATTTGAATAATGCTATACCACGTTCGATCATTCGTAGATGTGAATTGTGTATTGAAGAATTGGGTTTACATTTCAAGCAACTACTTTAGATTTTGTACGTTTGTCCTAACTATCCAGTAGCATTTTAGTTGTAAATAATTAATTTAATTTGTTAAAAATAATATTGGGAAATTAAACAAATTAATATTCTGTTTTTTGTGTTTATTTGGAGTTAGGAATTATTGCTGTGTTTAAAAACACAATCTAAACGATCATCTTAATTACTTGTAATGCCCAAATCGAAAATGTAAAAAAATATTATTTTCCCATAAATAATTAAAAATGCATCGAACCTTAAAAATCGAAATATCTCAAAAACGGCTAACTATAACGAAAACTCACAGGAGAGCTTTTTCATGCTGAAAAGTGTGAAGAATCAGTTTTTTTATTCAAAAAGCAAAAAATTGCACGAAGAAAAATTTTTCGGTCATTTTAATACACTACAGGTACAGTAGAGAGCGCCCTCTAGCGGCTACAGTAAAACTATACCCATGGTTCGTTTTGTCGTACCAAAAAACCCTGTATACCAATTTTCACTGTTATACATCAAATATTGTTCGAAATATTTTTTAAAAAAAAACTATTTTAGAAAGTAAATTTAAACACCCTGTATTTCGGAAGCCACGCATTTTTTGACTCATGTTTATATAGACTTTATGCATTAATTTTAAAAGTTCTATCGAATCTTAAAGTTATGAAACAATAAACTGAAACATCCTGTATACCTACGGTCGATTTTGGTGTGGACTCATGGACATACGTTTTTTAGTTTTTGCTCACCGCCATGAACATTTTTCCGTCATCGTATGAGTCTTCCACATTTATTTCTGTCACTGTCAGTATGACAACTTGCCTGCGTTGATCTTTGATATAATACATAGTTAGTGCTTGAAGGTACAACTACAATGTCGACAGTCTATATTAAATAGAAGTAATTTCAGAAAGAGAGTGAAAACAATGCTCAAATCCATGTGTTTGTGCAACAGAGAGTAGCAGGTGCTTAGATTAGTCAAGCCTACGTCCATTAGTCAATCTGTTTACTTATATCGTATGGCACTATGCCAAGAACGAAAAGAATAAAGTTGTAGTTGTGCTATAACGTCGAATCTAGGCACCCCACAAATGTCAGAATCCATCAAGCCGTTTTGGCTGTAGCACGTGAAATAGAAAATTCAAAGCTGAAATTTTCTATTGAAATCCGAATTTTGATTTTGTGAAATTTGAGTATACCCAGTATCACTTGTACTGCCCAGCTTTGCTCCTATAACCGACATCGTACCTCTTACCGTTTCTGAGATCTCAATGGGTTGAGTCGAATTTAAAACACCCAGTATACATAGGAACAAAAATCTATGTCTCAGAGCTAGCCAAACGCGACAAATTTTTTTTGGTCAGTTGGCAGGAGAGATGGGATGCAACTGACTATTCACTAGAAAGCTAATCCCAGATATTGAAACTTGGATTGATAAGGGACATTGACAGCTACCTGCAGCGGGTAGGAAAAAGCGTAGTGGATAGGTTCACTACCATAGACTCCTGACATTGACGCTCGGCGAGAGTTTCACTGCTGACAATTTTGACAAGCATGCAAGCGAGAGCAGATGGGGATTCAGTGAGGCGGATGATACTGAACAAGGTGCAGGGGGACAAGAATAGGAACCGATAATTGGTTCCTATTCGCTCGGTTGTACATATATATATATATATATATATATAAATTGTACAAAGGTAGGAATGCATGTACAGGGTGGCACAGAGGAAACGCATGATTTTCACGTAAGCATAACATTTTTTATGTTTAAGATAAGTTTGTTTTAACTACAGCTAAATAAAGTAATAATAGTGCACTTTTAAATTAATTATGGTAAATTATGTCACTCAAGTGTCGCCCTTCTCCGCGCTCGCACATCTCCAACCGCTATTGAAAGTTGTGCATTACACGTAGGATAATCTCTTGTGGTATTCGTGCGAGTTCTTGACGAATAGCAATTTTCAGTTCCTGTAACGTACGGGGTTGGTGAGGGTACACTTTAGCCTCAAGGTAACCTCACAAAAAGATGTCACGTTGCTTTAGTAAGTATGCCACCTATCGAGAATCTCACACTTCGGACAGAAAAATACTGTCGAGCTTTTCTGCCTAAGAGAGGCTACAAAAGCCTTGTCCTGTCAAAAAAAAACCTCAGAACCAGACTAGGTTGAAACCATTTTTGACTAAAATGAGTTGTTTATGTTAAGTTCATGTTATTATTGTGAATTTTCGTTTGATACTTGCAACGTCCACCTACCTTTAACAAAGAAAATACGACTTTATAAATTATGACAAGTCACCTACAATACAAGAAAAATATTTCAAACGCAATTATCTCAAAACTTCTTATTTCATCTTAGCCTAGTCTAGCTCTGAGGTACTGACAGGCACGGATCCATTGCCCCCTTTCCCCAAGGTATCAGCCTCAGGAAAAAATGAAGAAAGGGAAAATAAGGAGAGACCACATTATTTTTTGTTCGAAAACTTAAAATAAATGTACGTTCTGTTATTACACTGCTATTTATTATTTCCATTTTTAATTACTTTTTATAAGCGCAAACAACTTGACAATACCTCCTAAAAGTAGGCAACCGCCACTACACCCTCCAACGTGATCCTGGATCCGCAACTGGGTTCAGGAATGAATTAATTGAGGAGACTAGTGCAATAGGATGCCTTAGTGCTAAAGAACGCAGCTGCGACTTGCCGCGTTGCCATCGGCGCACTCTTTCTAACATACATATTGCAGGCTTCTCACGCTTCTCTCTCGTACACATTACGACGTTAGCCAAATTTCAACGTCCTCGTATGATATGACCACAATAAAAGATTTGGAGAACTATTCAAAGTAGTCAGGCAGTCCGCGTCGCTTTACCTATACGCTTTCAACGCACAGTCGCTTGACCATTTTGTTCAAATTTCTTCATACTGACATAAACCTCAGCGAAACTTAATCATACATTTCTTCGTACCTTGCTACCTTGCTAAAGAACTAGAAAATACCAAAAGCGTTCCATTGCAAGAGAACAAGAACAAAGCTTCTAAAGTCGCCAGTATTATGTGTGAGAATTTTGATTTATTTTCTACTGTTTGTGATAAATATTTTGTATCTTAAAAACATTAAATACTGGTCCCTTCCATTTAAACACAAATTGGTTGTACGTCTTTTAATATATCTAACGTTTAACTTTATTATATGTTTATTGGAAACGTCTGCTTTAGTTAATGTAACACCTGAAATCTGTCGTCTGATTTTCATGCTCCATTACTGTACTTTGAAGAAGGCCATTGTGGTGGCCGAAGCTTTAGTAAAGAAATTATTCATACATAGTGATTCCATTTGGTCAGACAATCATGGAGTCCTGTCTACTTTAGCGTCACATTTATGGGCATTCCTTCAGGACTGAGTGATGTTTGAGAAATTCTCCTTTTTTTAAACAAGCAATAACGCTCCCTTGAGAACCATTCAACATTTTTAACGTTTGCGTTTGACAGTAGGCTATAACCAGTGTCATCACAGATTTTCAACAATAGTAGAATTTTTAGAACTCTTTAGAAACATAAAACACAAAATTCTCAAAACAAAAATTCTCAACTTTTTCAAAATTTTTACTATTTTCGAAATTTTTGAGATATTCGAGATATTAAAAGTCTTTAAAATTAATACAATTTGACAAATTTCTAAAACTATTGAAGTATTCAGACATGTTGAAGATTTCATAAATTTAAAAATATTGGAGATCCTGAAAAATTTCATGATTCCGAAAATTGGGAAAAT